CCCGTGGCCTTGGTGTTATCAGCACCGCACTCTCCCAAGTGAGCCATGGGCCGGCCCTAACCACCTAGTTTAAATTGCACTCTCCTCCCCCTCAATTCTGTTGTTGGCTTTTTTCCCCATACCACTAATTACCACCTTACATACTAGTTCCACATGGGCTAGTTTTCTTAAGCTTGTATACTCAGCACTTAGAATAGCACCTGCACACAGAGGTCTCCAGTGAATATGAGTTAGAAGAATGAATGAATGAATGTAAATCACTACCCAAACCACTGTGCTGTTACCCATTGCAGTGCATCAGATTTTACTGCGTGAAGGAATCTAAGCTAGCAGTGACATTTATATGCATTTTCTAATGTAAATCAGTAATTGCAATGCCATCTCATGATGAAAGCTTTTAAATCTATCTTAATTCTAAACCAGTTTGATACAATTCTTTAAGGTTTGTCACTCATTTAAATACAAGTAGGAAGATAGCTTACATTAGGAGTTTAATTGTAAAGCACTAGTTTCACAAAAACTTGGCCTTGCAGCTATAGCAAGTCTGAATTTAATGTAGGCTTTCTTTCCAATCTTTGATTGTTGCTTTCCAATTCACTATGACCTTTTTTTTAGTATCCACTTGGCCCACATTTTGAGTAACTCTCCAGGCTATTCAGCACAGCTTAATAAATACTTCTGATAGCCTTACATAAAACCAAAACTAAAATCTTATTATAATACTTGATGTTCAAAAGGTATATATTGGGAATTTTCCAAAACAGTAACTTACTAGTAGCTTTGTTACCTGTTGTTCCAGTCTTTAATCTGTTTCTTAAAATATACTGCAAAAATATTTTTTTAGAGATTATACTAATATTTCCTAACATATGTAAGGTACATTATGGTTTAATCTCCATAACAGCTATATGAAATAGGTATTATTAGGCCGGAAAAGATAGTTTTTCCAAGGTCATAGACTCAATATTTTGCCACCTTGTTCAATGGAATAATAATGGAAAATTATTAGTGTCCATGCTTTCCTTCTTAACTAGTATATTTTTTAGATGTGTTCATTTCATCTTAAATCTAAATTTCTTAAATCCTATTTCTTCCATGGATAATTGCAAAAGTAATAATTAGTTACCTTTGTCCAAATGTGAAAATCCTATCCACTCTTCCTCACTTGTAATTTGACAAATCAACAGGCTCTTTGGCCCATTAAGAGCCTGAATATTCACGTTATTTTTATTTAACCCACAATCATAACCCATGATTGTATGGATTTCCGTATGTTTGTCTGTATCAGTGTTTAATGATTTTGACATACCTCTTCCTGTAGAATCCGAATTTTAAGAATCAGATCCCGGTTTTCTGTCTCCTGATTCATTCAGAGAAAAATAATTAAAAAGTATTTAAGAAGTTTATGAAAATACCACATATTTGTCTCCAAGGCTATCAATATTCTTTGCCTTTACCAACTTTAAATGTGACACGCATCCATCACAAACAAGCCTAGTCTGAAAATATTTTTAATATGGGCTTGAAGTGTCTTGGGGATCTACGAAAAGTCACTCTTCTCCTTGACTCAGTGTAACTATGGTAGTTAGGAAAGGAAAGATAAAAAACAAAAAAGGAGCAACTTGGCTTCTTTTCTTGTCACTTTATGGCCATCCATTAATGGCAGGTAGTTGCAAAAGCAGCTATTCAAATAGCTCCTTAAAGCCAGAGAGTTCTAGCTTTCTGTTTGAAGCTGTGGATATTCTCAGATTCAATGCTACCACAAATATGAACATCAAAAACTATTTTATAACTAACAGCCTCAAATTCAGAACCATCAGAAGAAAAAAGTAATCCAGGACAGGATATGTGCCAAAATGCTAACAGAAAATCTTATGGGTAGATTAAGGGAAGGATATTATGAAATTATATTTTTTCTTTGTTAATGTGCAAAGAAAAATTTATTCACTTATTTCCATAAAGTGAACAGTTATTACCTTTATAATACAAAAATGAAAGAGAAAACATCTTGGGCTAGGATTTCATTGATACAAGAATAAAGGAACACATATGCATACACGCACGCACACACACAGACACGCACATGCATTCCCATTATGTACCTGGAATCAGAAGACTTGAGTTTGATTCTACCGGTACCGTTTATTAAACAATTGATTGAGCAAAACATCTATGGACGACTTCTATCACTCTATTAAATTTTTTTAAATTTACAAAGATATTGCAACTTCTATTTCTACCTCAGAGAATTTCTATGCTTATCAATGAGATAAAATATTAAATATTCTTTTGAAATTATAAAACACTATGAAATGCAAATGCAGATTATATATCTAGGACTCTGCACTTTTACCAATAGCAGTTAACATTACTGAACCCTAAGAGGAAAGAAAAGGATATTGAATGCTCTACATGTGTGAGCTCATTATCCCTCCCGTCCCTAGGGTATGTAGTACTGTCATCTCCATTTTATCTAGGAGGACACTGAGGCTGAGGGTGGGTATTGGTTTGCCTAAAGGTATCCAGCCCTTGGAGCCAGGACATGAACAGAGGCAGTCTGGCTCCCTGGCCCTAGGGTATGTAGTACTGTCATCTCCATTTTATCTAGGAGGACACTGAGGCTGAGGGTGGTTAATGGTTTGCCTAAAGGTATCCAGCCCTTGGAGCCAGGACATGAACAGAGGCAGTCTGGCTCCCAAGTGTGGTGGCCTCTTGGTCATTTCTCTACATTGCCTCCCGTTAGAAGCTCCTCAGTGGTCCCATACTGAGTCTTTTCTATAGTCACACAGGCTTTCGGAGTCACAAAAGATGTGATGCTCAATGAGTCTAGTTCCTATACTTTACTGTTGAGGCAAGCACTAAGCTACACAAAGCTGTGTTGGTTGCAGAAGGTCACAAATGACTGACAAAGGCCTAGAAACCGAGTGAGACCCTGTGACTTACAGACTCTAAAAACAGGTTTTCAACTGATATCTAAAAACAAATTAGTCTGCTGCCCCTCACTATAGCAAGAACATTGCTGAAATTGATCAGGATTTCGAAAATTATTAATAAATTAATCTGCTGCCCCTCACTATAGCAAGAACATTGCTGAAATTGATCAGGATTTCGAAAATTATTAATGCTTGAGATAACAGTTTAACATTCTCAATATAAATTATCACATCTCTGGTGTTGAATTAAAGCTTAGTCCAAATTACCTTTTGCTCTGAAATTACGAGCCTGTGTTTATTTAGTGAAGGAATGATTTATGGAGCTTCTCAGTAATCTGTAAGTACTGAGAGAACTGATTTTTCTTTTTCAAAACCTGAGAAAAAGGTGAAAGTTTGACTAAGAATTTTTTTTCAATTCAAGTGGTTTTTAGTATTGGATACTTATAAATTCACCTATCAATTTTAGGAAGCATTTCAGATTTTTTTCAAATCTTCACAAACCATTGGGAACATGACTGAGAAATCTGTGAGGAATTTTAATCTTGATTGAAAAGAAAAACACAATTGTTTAAATCCTACCTGCCTTTACTTTTCTAAGGTGTTTCCAAATCATTTACCAGCCTACTGACTTTTGATTTTTGCCCCCAAATAAAGCCTCTTGTATTTCAGTTATGTAAACTATATGCCAATTTCAAAGCACATGAACTACTTACCAATTGTTTATTCTGGGATGCAATTGTGGTCTTCTGCTCTTCTGAAGCATTCATACTAATTTTCAGTTCCTCCAGCTCTTCTTTTAACAGATTTGTTCTCATAATAGACTGGTGGGCACTGTGGGGGTGGGGGGAGGAGGCAATGAGCAAAACCTCAAATGTAACTGTCAAACATACTAAATAAAGCCAAGGGTTATTTTTGGACCCCAACTTGAAAACCACTGAAGGCTTAAACCAGACGCCCACAACAGCAAAAATATACCCATGATCTTTCACACTCCTTGGAAAAGGAAGGAATTTGAGGGAAGTGTGGTGGGGGAAGGGAGAAGAGAGGGAAACAGACAAACATATTCTTGAAACTGAAGATTTGGAGGATCCCTCTGAAATCCATTGTTGGCTGAATCATATAGCTGTTTCTTTTTCTTTTTGTTTTGAATTACATCATTCTTTCTAAAAAATCTTTCCTTTTACTAAAAAGATGTATTACTACTTAATCCAATTCCACAAATATTCATTGAATAATATCATGTTTCAGATGCTATACCCTGCATGGGGTCTATAATGGTGGACAAGAGAGATGTGGTTCTTGCCATTATAGAGCTTACATACTAGGAAGGGAGATGACAACTAAACAAATAATTACCAGTAGTGTCTAAATGAGGTTATGTTAAAGCATTGGAAACAACCTAGATGTTCACTAACGAAAAACTGATTAATTATGGTAATCCGTATCCTAGGATTACCTATTTGTATCTCCTACTAGATTTTAAACTGTTACCTGAGGAGCTCAAAGAAGGTACCAACAAAAAACTGATTAATTATGGTAATCCGTATCCTAGAATTACCTATTTGTATCTCCTACTAGATTTTAAACTGTTACCTGAGGAGCTCAAAGAAGGTACAATTTTTTCTTTACTAAGGGAATTACATTGATTATTCAATAAATATGAGTATTTATCAAGCTATAACTCTGTGCCAGGCATTATACTAGTCACTGAAAAAGACAAAATTATACCCAATCATGAGAACTCTGCCCTCCCAGAGATTATAGTCTAGTAAACAGACCGTCATAATCACAATGCAGTGTGATACGAACCAAGGTTGGAAGTAACTAAGTTCTGTGGGCAGATAACTCGGGCAATGACAGAGAGGGAGAGAGGACAGAAGCTCATTGAGGGTCTCTATACAAGCAGTTAGATATTATTGGAGCATAGAGCAGAAAGTGAGAAGCAGAGATAAAGCAGCAGAGACCATCATGAAGGACTTTGAAAGAATTTGGATGTTATTCTGAATGCAACAGGGATTCATCAAATTGTTTAAAGCAGGGCCATAAGGTGGTCAGACTGGCATCTAGAAAGAACATTCCTGCCAATGAGGGACCAGTTTTGGAAAAGGCAGGAAGACTATTCAAGAGGGTGCTTGTAGTGATCCAGGTGAAAGGTGATGTTGACCTGAACTAAGTGGCAGATACCTATACCTGGAAAGAAGTCAATCTATTTTAGAGATATAAAAGAGATGAAATGAACAGGACTGTCTATTTGATTTAAAAGTGAAGCTTATGGGAGAAAAAGAGACAAAGGTTTCTGGCTCGAAGGCACCTGAAGGAAGGTATTGCTATTCTACAATAGATATTCTACTAAGCACTGGGATTTCTGTCCATTTTGTGAGTTACTCAATTCCTTCCTAATACATTTCTTTTTTTTTTTTTTTGTCTTTTTTCATGTCCGGCAACCCTCGCTCAGCCAGTGAGTGGGAACCGGTCTGTATGTGGGATCCGAACCCTCGGCGGGAGCACCGCCGCACTCCCAAGCGGCGCACTGTAGCAGTGTGCCACTGGGCCGGCCCCTAATACATTTCTTGATATTTAGGTTAACCAGAGTCAGCTTCCAGTGCTTGCAACAAAAAACTCTAATTGGCACCTTCATCCAGAGCATAGGTTTTTAAAAAGAAACTTTGAATTATTATATTTCAATTAAATAATAACTAAGCCAAATTGTGGAATGGAGAAAACTTGAGGTAAGGTTATATTTATATTTTTATTTTTTTAAATTTCATAGGATTGTTTTGAAGGTTGGTCTAGACCAGGTCAAAAATTGAGGATGGAAGTCCATGACTAGAATGCTTTATTGTCATTACAAGTTAACATAAAACTTTCCTGTTCAGAATTTTAGCACCTACAACATCTATAAATATAGACTTTGTGAAAACTTTGTTGCTTTTTTCCTGATGCTCAAGTTTCTCCTCCTAACCTATGTCACCAGTGTTTAACACTTTATTTGGTATGTCTCTTAGGTCCTTTATCCCTTTTTATCTTAGGCTAATGTCATAAGTTTTTATTCTTCTAGGTTGTAGGTACCTTGAGGGCACATTTTAAACCTGCCTCATCCCTGAATCTCTCATAGTAGGTAGCAAGGGACTTTGCACAGAGTAAAAGTTCAACTGAACCACGGAATTCTTTGGATAGATCCACACTTGGCCCACAAATATATTGGCCTTAGACTACAAGAAGAACATCGTTGCTAGAAAAGAATTGACAAACAATTCTGGTGGAAAGTAAAATGACACAGCTCCTGTGGAAAACAGGCGATTCCTTGAAATGTAAACTATAGGTTACTACAGGACCCAGCAATTCCACTCTGAAAACACGTACACACAAAACCTTGCACACAAATGTTCATAGCAGCTCTATAATAACCCAAAAGTGCAAATAACCCAAATGTCCATCATCTGAAGAATAGATAAACAAAATGTGGTATATCCCTACAACGGAATAAAAAGGAATGATATACCGATTCACATTATAACATGGATGAACCTTGAAAACATTATGCTAAGTGAAAGAAGCCAGACACAAAAGGCCACATATTATGATTCCATGTATATGAAATGTTTAGTGTAGTCTAAGCCATAGAGACAGAATAATGGTTGCCAGGGGCTGAGGGAGGGGAGGAGGAAATACTGCTCATGAGTTTGCAGTTTCTTAGTGGAGTGATGAAAATGGTCTGGAATTAGATAGTGGTGATAATGCACAACCTTGCGAATATATCTAAGCCATAGAGACAGAATAATGGTTGCCAGGGGCTGAGGGAGGGGAGGAGGAAATACTGCTCATGAGTTTGCAGTTTCTTTGTGGAGTGATGAAAATGGTCTGGAATTAGATAGTGGTGATAATGCACAACCTTGCGAATATACTAAAAAAACACTGAATTGTACACTTTACAAAGGCGAATTTTATGCTAAGTGAATTACATCTCAATTTTAAAAAGATGAAAAAGAAAGAAAGAACTGAAAGTTCCCAGCACACAGTGACCCACTGTGGCTCACCTTTTAACCTGAAGGCGCAAGTCAGTGCAGTCTTCTGTTAAATGGTTGTTAGCCTCTTCCAAGGTTTCTAATGCTAACTTAAACTTACTGTTTTCCTCTTCCAATTTCTGCTTGTTGAAATATAGGTCTGCTACATATGTAATCAAATCAGGCACCTCCCTGCAGGTGAAAGAATGAATGAGAATATTCTTTAATATCTCCAATCTCTTCCTATCAAAATAAGGCATATGGTTAAGCCTAAACAAGCTTAAATATTCATGCGAGATTTTCTCCTTTATGCTAATCCATTATCATAAATGTAGTTCATTTATACAATAAATACTTATTCAAAGATTTATTATAGTAACAAAGATTTTTTTTCAAATAATCCCCAAAAGAGCTTAAGGTCAATATCATAACCCTATTTCAAATGGAACTTGTTTTCTATAGAAAACACATAAAGTCAATAAAGGAGAAGGGTTTCATGATTGAGCAAATGATTTTGGATTACTAGTCTTACAAGAATTTGTGTTCCCAGTTCCTGGTTCTAATGCAGATGGTATAAAATTATAAAGAATTTAAAATCAATTATGTTAGTTCTACTGCAAAAAAAAAAAACAACTGAGTGACTTTATCATAACTGAAATATGCAGATTTGTGAAATAAACAAGAAAAACGTATAAGGAAAGTCAAAGCACTTGAGAAAGCATTACAAGTAAGAATGCTTACAAGACACCCTTAGACATGTCTCCACCCAAAGCCTCGAAGCTTCCCGATGCAGAATCTCTTATATCTGTGATCATCTTAACTGAAACACATACAAGAGAGTTTTGTGAAAATTTCATTTTCTCCAAACCACAAGAAAGGGGCAGAACAATCCCGAAGGAACACATACATACTTGCTCCACCTGGTTTTATGCTGTCCTGTTCTCCAAAAACAGAATGATTCAAGATGCCACTTAATCCACTATTCACTCCTTCCCTGTAGCCAAAAAACAAAACCAGCCAGCTCGGATTCTTTTCCTTACCAAAGTTTAGTTCATTTTTAAGATGTGCTCTGTATTTTCCTATTCAGGTATTTTTTTCTGAGTTTTAAAACCCATCTATTCATTCAACAACTATTTAGAGTCCAATACTGTGCTAGGTACTTAGGATGACAGACAAAAAAGTAAGGCATTACCTTCACCATTCATCAACTTTTAATCTAATATGAAAAAGAAAACACGCATGCAGAAATAGGCAGGTGGAGGTGGACAGCAGCATATGCTTAGGGAATGAGAGGTGTCAGTGGATTAGGAAACTGAAATACTTTGTAGTAGTAAGTGGAGACTCGTGGAGGCAGCCAGACCACATGCCTTGAGGGATTGGGAAGGAAAAGCACGAACCACTAACACTGTGGAATATACTCAGGTGCTATCATCTTCCCTTTCTCATGCGAGCCACGCGGAACCAAGACGAATTGTACTTTGAGAATTTTGCTCCTGAAATCTGGGGAACTCTCTGTACAGGCCTCTGTCCTTTACACCAACTCTAGCTCAACCTCCCAAAATAAATATATTAAAATTTCAACCATTTCTTTTTAGAGTCTTTATACTATGATTTAAATTTTGGTACTCAAGCTTTCTAAGCACCAAATCTTTAGCTTCTCTCTCTGGAGCAGCCACACAATTCTCTAAATGTGTCTTACATCTCACTGTGTTTCAGTGTGAGATGTCTGTAGGAAGGTGTCTGAGCAAAAAACTCACAGCAGTCCTACTACTGCTATGTACACACCATCACCATTTCTGAGTTTTTGCTCTTATATTTTGTATTTATTTATACCTCCAATCGTTTTTCTTTTCCTTTTTATTTTTGTCTTTTATTTGGCCCTTACTCTGTTGTACAAGTGGATAGTTGATATTATTATACAAACACATATTTTGGTAAAATTAAAAAATTCATAAGAAAAAAATGAAGAGCATTGTGCAGAGACGATCATTTTGGCATCCATTCTTCCCAACTTTTTCCTATGCATATATTTTTTATTTCTTGACAAAAACAGAATTATATTACATATATGGATCTATGGCCTATTTAAAATACATATGAATATTTCTTTTGTCAAATGTTCATCTAATTATTACTTGTAATGACTATTTAGAATTCTAGTGTACGGAAGTACTATAATTTATTTGCCTGATTCCCTATTTTTAAATATTTAGATTGCTTCTATTTTTCACTATCATAAACAACCTTCTACATACACTCGTATTAGAGTATATGATTGGTTGTTTTTTTTTTTTTTTTAAGTTGCATTACCACTTGAAGAGGCTGCATATTTTTAAGGGTTTAATACACATGCCTAAATTGCTCTTAAAAAAAACTGTGTCAACTTGCACTACTGCCAACAATGTAAGATGAAGTTGCATTACCACTTGAAGAGGCTGCATATTTTTAAGGGTTTAATATACATGCCTAAATTGCTCTTAAAAAAAACTGTGTCAACTTGCACTACTGCCAACAATGTAAG